AAATCCAGAGGATTAAGATCTGGAGATCTGGCGGGCCAACGTATTGGGCCGTATCGACCCATCCATCGTCCAGGAAATTTCTGATTTAAATAATTCGTCACTATTCTAGCGTTGTGTTGCCCCGCACCGTCTTGCTGAAATACAATTTTGTCTCTGTCGAGTAATGGTATTTTTTCTAAAAAGTCTGGTAGATTGTCCTTTAAAAATTCCAAATATGTTTCTCCATTTAAAATATCCGGGAGAACAACTGGACCTAGTATCTGAGTTCCCATAATTCCTGTCCAGACATTCATCTTCCAACGAATTTGGAAGTTTCTGTTTCGCGTCACTCTAGGATTTTCATCGCTCCATACGTGCATGTTATGCGAATTAAATACTCCTTCTTGCGTAAATAATGATTCATCGGTAAATATTATTCGAGATGGAAGTCTTGGATCTCGATCTACTTTTCTTAAAAAGTTTTCGCAGAACGTTTTCCGTAGAGGATAATCTTCTGGTCGTAATTGTTGCACGCGGGTATAATGAAATGCATGCACTTTTTCTTCTTGTAATATCCTCTGAACGGTCGAATATGATAATCCGTGTTCACGAGAAATAATTCGAATACTCGTTTCAGGGTTTCGCTCAATAGCTCGAATAATTTCTTCCGTATTTCGCAAATTTCTTGCGACACGGTTTCTTCCAACGTCGTGGTTATTTGGTAGGACACTGCCGGTTTCGTACAATCTTTGAGCCGCTCGGAGTATGACAGCAGCCGACGGATGTCTTTGACGGTTCGGGTACAATTCCGCGTACCGCCTTGCAGCAGGATAATACTGTCCATTGCATTCGCCCAGTACCATGAGCATATCGTAATACTCTTCATTTGTATAAGCCATATGATCTTGATAAATAGGAAAATCTTGATTTTTCGCTTCCGAAACTCTCTTCGCTTCCGAATCTCTCGACAATCTTCTGCTTCAAGCGATCGAGGGATTATTGATCGACGTATTGATCCGCATCACATTTATACAATTTTCGCGTGGGGTCGATACCCCCTCTGCGACTTCACCCGCGAATCAGAACACCTGCGCAGAACGCGAACAGCGAATCGGAACGAACGCTTCGAGGTATTTGTAACACGTGCAGTGCACTCTGTTTCGAATTTGCTGCGGTCTGAGATTTCAATTACATAATCATGCGTCTTTAGGTTCAATTTATTGCACCAATTCATTAGTGCAGGAATAAAAAATAGACCTCGTGTTTCGACCGCGATAGTATAAACCAATAAAATCGATCGATTGCCTCGTCGAGTTAACGACTATCGTATTAGCGTTGTGTATTCCTTTCTTCGAGTGAATTTTTAAGTGACGAATGTGTGTGTGATTAATTGACAGTAATTAATAATTAACTAATAAATTCGGTATTAAAGTCATTCGACTAGTGCTTGCTGTCGTTGAGTAAACGCGTCGTGTGTTAGTAAACAATCGTATGCTTCTTTCTTCGAGTGATTTTCAGTCCACGAATAATTTGATGCATCGTAATTAACTAAGAGATTCGCTGTTAAAATCAGTCGATTGCAAACTATCGTCGAGTAAACGCGGCATGTGTTTCTTTTTTTCGAGTGATTTTCGGTCACTGAATGACTAATTGGCAATGATTAATAATTATGTACCATCGGTGATAAAACGGACACTTAATTGATGGAGATACAGTTGTAAAGTTTGGGAGCGGTGCACTTGGACACGGTGCATTTGGACACAGCCAATCACCGCACCGTGTGATTAGAGACAGTAGGGTCCCTTGGAACAGCGACTTGTGATTGGACTGTGTCCAATTGCCCCGTGTCCAACTGATATACACCCGTAAAGTTCTCGTTTTCTTCAAATAATTGAATAGTTTGTATGTAAATCGAGCGTGCATGTGAACATGTCGAAGT